TTCGTGTAACGGGTCAGAAACTTGTAAATAAATAATGGTCTATTAATCACAACTATTTTCTATCTAAAAAATTATCCATTGCTTTTTATTAGTTAAAAAGAAAAGTAAAATTACTCTGGTATCAATTAAGATCGACATTGTTTTTGTTCATTTATCCCCTATAAAGATTGCTCTGAAATCTCATACGCCAAAACCATCCCTTATGAAATTCAGTAATATAATAACTTTTTTAAAGTTTATATATTGGCACTAAATATAATAACTTTTTTTCTGGCCTATAATAGGCTATATTCTAATACATGTCAGAAAGATACAATACTTTTAGTTACATTTTAATTAACCGTTGATTATAAAAATCAACTGAAAATAAAATGTAGCCAATTTAAAAATATGATAACTTTTTTTATGGCAACCGGCCCACCGGGAATCTCGCGGTATCCAATCGGTCCAGTCCATGCCTGGTTATACAAGGAAAATTGCATATAGAATTATAGTAAAATATATTAATCACAATACTTTACATAAAAATGTCTTTTTATATAAAGTATAATTGGATAAGTGAGGCAGTTGCCATTTTGAAAAATATTTGTATAGAAATATTTACACTTGGCGCAAAGGTTTTCTATTGTTTTCCTAATGTTATTTATAACAATTGACAGCGCAAATATCTTAACTTTTAAACAATCAGTTAAACGTCCATCTTTTAATACGTCCTTGCAGACACTTGATATCCTTCATTTTATTCAAAGTTAATGGCGTATGCTTTAAAAAAGCTTGAGTGTTAAAAGAAGGTTTTATTAATATATTTTTTTCTACTTTTTTACTTGTAATGAAGAAAAAATTTCTCATCTCTTTCGTTTCAATATAGGTATATTTTAGATTTAATACTTAAATACTTTTAAATACTTTGAGTTTCATTTTTTAGAATAATTGAATTTCGTTTTCAAATTTAATGCATATATTGTTTTTAGTTTGTTAGCCTGTTTGCCTTTTATTGTTCATGTGAATAAAAAACCACTTTGGTAGGCGCAATGAGTTTCCATTCATTCCGCTTACCAAAATAATTTGCTAGAGCGGAAAGAGTTGCCACTCGAAAAAAAAAAATACCAATAAAGATTCATATGAATAAATACTTTAAAGAATAAAAAATATCTCGTTTAATCAACACGTTAAGCAAAAAGCATATTCAACATAAAATCAAATAAAATGTCTTGAAATATTCTAAATAATCTTCAGTTTTATTTATTATTTTTGCATAACAAAATATCTAGAAAATATAGAAATGTTTCATTTACTTTTATTTTTATTGATAAGCGGTTTGAGCATTTTTAAAGTAAGATTAATGCATGTCTTTTTTATGAAAGAGAGTAAAGCTAGTAGTCTTTTTTCTAATTCAGAGATAATTTTGTTGCTTGGAAACACATGCGTGTCCATAGCATTTAATTATTTCAGTAATGCAAAAATTTCTAAAATGTCAATGCAATCTAAAAAACACTAGGGTAAATACGCCAATTACTGGCCACAATTTTACAAGAAACACCCGTTACAGAAAAATATTCAAGTAAATGTTACATATCATATATCAATTTTTAGAGAATTAAGAACTCTATAATTTTAAGTAAAATTTTTTGTGATTATAATAGCAAAAAATTATATATAATTCAGATAATAAAGGTAAACAGTTTTAATTAATACTGGCCATCTTAACCATTTATTGGCCGTAGGCCAGAAATTAGGAAACACATTGATGTAAAATTGAAAATAATAAAACCAAACAAAAAAAGTACAGCATAAAATCAAGATAACTTGTTAAACTAAATTTTACACTGAATTTTACAGTGAATTAACAAACTCCACAAAAAACTAAAAATAACTATTATTAAAAATATCATTTTTTTTATTCATCTTTTCATTTCTTTAAGTTAATTTCTTCAAGTTTGATATATGATCTAGCTTCTTTTTAGCAGAAATTTCTTTTTTTTTTTAAATCTTTTGTTTCTCAATTTTTCTCTTTTCACTAGCTACTTTTACAGCCCTATCTTCAAGCTTTGCATTATAAGCCTCCTCTGAGGTCAGAACAAAAAACTTTAAACTAGAGTTTTTTGTTTTTTTGTTTTTTGTTTTGTTTAATGTGTGGAGAAGGATATGTAAGAATATCTGAATCTTTGTCTGACGGACAAGATGAATTAGTAAATGGAAATGGACGATTTGTTATGCAAATTTTTTTATCATTTGAATCTAATGTTGATTCAGTTACTACTACTTCTTCAAGAATTATTTCTGAATCACTATTTAAACCCAGAGTTTTGTCTTGAACAGAAAAATCAAAAAACTGATTGTCTCGTAGTGGTTTGATTTTTGCATAGCTGTGTTCTGTTATAATATTTGAATATTGCATAGAATTGCCTTGAATGAAAAAGTCAATTAACTCATTTTCTTCTATTGGTTTGGTTAAAGAGTGTGAGTTGGTTTTATAGCTGCCATCTGATAGATCAGGCAA